CGGCGGGGGGCTGACATGCAGCCTCGCGGGGGGCCGCTCCGACGGGGCCGTCTCTCAACCCGCTCACCCCACGTCGGCCTCGGAACTGGGTTTCCCGTGCGCCCCCCCACCCATGCCCGCTGCACAGCCCCCCGCGTTTGCTCGACCCGCACCCTGCCAGTCCCCGTGCAGGCCCTGGGCTTCCTTGTGGAGCCAGAACTTGAGCGCCGGCTCTGCCCCGGCGTCCTTTTGAGGACCAAGTCCGACTTCAGGAAGGCCACGCTGGTCTCAGCCACGCGCTGGCCAGGCACGACTTCCTTCCCGGTCTGCCCACAACACGGGCCACTAAGTGGATGCCCGCGGAAGGCCCTCCTGGGTGACCCAAAGTGACTGTTAAAGTGGAGGTTGAAATCTGGGCCCCGGGCGGCGCAGGGGTCACAGCGCGCCCCACGAAGCCGTCGGCGGCCACCGCAGCCAGGTTCGACCTGTCCCCGCTGCCCCCTCGGCAGTGGGTGACCGTGGGTCCGCCTGCCCTGCCCCCCACCCTGTCTCTGGGGCCCCCTCGCCCCCACACCTCTGGCTGCACCCCTGCTCTGTGTGCGTCCGTAAATCTTTTTTAAGAGAAGTTGGAATCCCCGGCTGCCCTGGGCCCACAGGCGCACAGGCCGGCCTCTCCGGGTCGGCTGGTGCTGGGTGGCAGGAACCGCGACTCGGACACTCCGCGGCCAGTGGCGTGAGGGCCGCGGGCCCCGACACGGCGGCCTTGCTTTCAGATAAAGACCACCGTGGTGGACGTAGAATTCCCGCTCATAAAGGCGGAGCTGGAAGCCATCGACGTCAAGCTGCTGAGTGCCGAGACCACGCTGTTCTGGAACGGCGAAGGTACCCAGGCCGCGCCCCCGTCCCTGCGCTGGCCCCGCGGATGGCCGCTCCTCCCAGACACCAGCACGGTGCTGCTGACGGCCAGCGGGTCCCCAGCCGCCCGGCCCAGGAGCCTCTCGCGTTGCTCACAAGGGCATCAGGCTGTCTGGCGGCCGGCCGGGCAGCGGGGAGGCGCCCGTGTGGCGCGGTGGATGCCGGAGGCGGCCGGGAACGAGGAGACGCCGCCCCCTTCCGCAGCCCTGTCTGTGGGGCACCGCCAAGCCCCCCTCGGGCCTCCGGCCCGCCTTTCGCACCTCCCAGCCCTTCTCTGCCCCCCACCCCGGCCTCACTCTCAACACTGGAGAGGGGGAGTGGCCACTTGTCTGGACCCGGGCGCCTGCTGGGCTGCTCCCTGTAAAAGCGCATGGCTTCCCGCCCTGCCGCCCCCAGGCAGGCCGCCGAGAGCCGCGCGAAGCCCCCGACCCGCTGGGGCTCGGCCGCAGCTGGAGGTCTCCCCGCCCCGACGCCCCTCTTAAGGGCCTGGGCGCTTCGCACGCAGGTGTGCTGGAGTACGTCCAGGGAATGCGGGAGATTCTGCACGACCTGCAGACCCGGATGCAGAAGGCCAAGCAGAACGTGGACGGGATCTCCCAGGTCATGAAGGTGAGCG